GAGCGGTTCATACTAGCAATAATAGGCGAAAACATCAGCGTCCCGTAATTTTAGGTCTCAAGCCCAAAACGCCAAACCCGAAATCTGTGCGCCTAATCTGTCCTAATCCCAGAGCCCCGAACCCTAACCTGACCACTAGGTAAAAACCCGAAACCCAACATCAGGCCCCATACCCTAAACCCTATAAACCCCTACCCTAGAGCTCAAAAGTACCTGAAGACCTCAGAACATATGAGCTATCGTCTAAACTCCTAGTTTCCCCCTTAATGACCCCAATAATACTCCCTCATATATTCCCCTATATAACCCCCTTTAAGGAGTTTAGACCCTAAACCCTAAATCCTAAACCCTAAACCTTAAACCCTAAGCCCTCTATAACCTCCCATACAACCCCCTTTAAGGAGTTTAGACTATAGCTCATATGGACAAAGGCAAGGCACAGAGTCGCAGCAAAGGTCTGCTCCAATGCCAGCCCCGACTCCTGCGATCAGTGTTTGGTAGTTTCCCAAAATAAGGGACCCCAATATAGACCCCAATATATTATAATCCTTATTATGGAGACCCCCCAAAAAGGTACCCCTAATTTTGGGAAACTCTCGTTTCTAGGGATACTACAAGGTCTACATAGGGGTTCTATAAGGGTTAGGGCTAAGGGTCTAGGGCTTAGGGATACGTAGGGGTTGTATGGGGGCTATGGGGTGTACACAAGGGTTCTAGGGCTCAGGGTCTAGGTTTATGGTATTTAGTGGTTGCATAGGGATTCTATAGGGACAGAGAAGGTGTCGGTGTTTACCTCATTTGGGGTACTTGGGGTTGTAGCTTCAGGTTGTTGTTTGGGGGCTGAGGCTTTGGGGATCAAGTTCATTTGGGGCTCAGGGGTTGGCAAGGCTTTTGATGGGTGGGAATCACGGGGCGGTAAGATGGAACTGTACGACAGCCAGATGCACGTCCAACGATAAGGTACAACCTCGTTCTTCGAGGTTGCTGTTAAGGAGCTTGGAATAATTGGCATAAGGAACCCCTGCTATTTGCTATATTATACCCATATTAGGGTGACCTGGCTTAAGCTCCTTGACAGCAACCCAGCTGTTGTCTGCACGTCCAAGTAGATCAAACTGCCGAACTGGCCATCAGTCTTCGGAGACCACGGATCCCGTCGGGCAGCGAAGCATCTGCAACCATTCATTTGAAAATGTGGAATAATGCTTCGGGGTTTGGGTTTAGGGTTGTGCGGAATTTCTGGACGTCCAGGGTGTTGAAGGTGGAACAACTTCTAGGGCTTTTCACCCTACATGTCATGTCCTGCTTGGGTTCCGCTCCCAGGGTTTGGGTTTAGGGTTTAGGATTCAGGGTTGAAAAGGTTTACAATGCTGAAACCTGAACACGTAGAGCTAGTGTTGGTAACGCGCCTTCTTTGATTCCATAGTCCGCAGCTTTTGGTACCAAAGAAAACTGTTCGGGTAGTTTACGCTCATGGCCCTAAACCCAAATCTCTAAACCCTAAACCCCTAAACCCTAAACCCTAAACCCTAAATCCTAAACCCTAAACCCCAAACCCTAAACCACTCATGGAGTAGCCCCTGACCTCCCTAAATCCTACGCTCAAAGCAAGGACTCCTCAGCAGAGGAACCGATCAGAGGCGCGCGCCGAAGTTTCTGCGCGGCCGCGCTGAACAGCCTCGGGTCAAGGTGGGCGAGGCTTGGGCCGACTTCGAGCCCCCTTACCAAAAAGTAAAGGGTCAGGGTTTAGGGTTTAGGGTTTAGGGTTCAGGGTTCAGGGTTTAGGGTTTAGGGGAGTCTGTAGGGGCAAAAAAAGAAACCCTTGAAAAGGGCTCCTAGGGATTCTATGAGGGCCTTAAAGATAAAGAGTGATCGTGCAGAGTGTAGAGTTAATGCAGTTCATGGGGCTTTCGATGATGGTTCAATCAGGGTAAAATATGATTCTCCGTGTACTGCGACTTGAGTTTAAAGGACATTCTTCAGCTTAAATCCCTAAACCCTAAATCCCTAAATCCCTAACTCCTAAATCCCTAAACCCTAAACCCTAAAAATCCTGAACCCTAAAACCCTAAACCCTAAATGCCAGATCCCTAAACCGTGGGTTGGCACTGGCTCCAAAAAATTAAGTAAGCTTGTGGTTTAGGGTTTAGGGTTGGGTACTACCATGGCTTGGGTATATTATAAAAGGGTATATACTGGGGTCATATGGGGATAATGGAAAAAAGTGAAACTACTATGTGCCATGCCGGTCGAGTCAAGCCACTTTCTCCATCTCGCCTGGCATGCCAAGTCCATGTTCATGCTTCTCATAAGAGCTATAATCTAAACTCCTAGTATTTAGGACTTAAGGTTAAGGGCTTAGGGTTTAGGGTCTAAACTCCTAGTATTTAGGGCTATGGGGTTAAGGGTCTAAACTCCTAGTATCCCCCTTGATAACCCCGGTAATAGGAAGCTTATTGGGATCCCCTATCTAACCCCCTTTAAGGAGTTTAGACTCTAGCTCCTAAGAGAGGTACCCCAAAAACAAGGTCTTGAGCAGACTGTACAGATGCATGGGACTATCATTTGACATTCTAAGGGTTGCCGGATTAGCTGATCCCCCTTAACCTTAGGGTTTAGGGCTTAGGGTTAAGGAGTGTATATGTCTAAAAAAATCAGTTGGAAGCACCCCAATCCATCTGCAAAAGATGGACTTCAAATTATGGGGAACAGTAAGTACTGAGTGCGGACCCAAATTCCAGACAAGAATACCCTAACCTAAACCCTAAACCGGGGGTGCCTAGTGGAACAGGGAAGCCTATGCACGGCGACGACAGACTTTCGTTGATTTGGAGGTTTCCCAAAATTAGGAGTACCATTTTGGAGGTGTCCTTATTAATACTAAGGACTGTAGTATATTCAGGTCTATGTTGGGGTTCCGTATTTTACGCCCTGTGCATAAGGACATGAAGGAGGGTTGTTCTAAAGGTTCTTTGTAAGGGAAGGACGACTGGGACTACACTTCCTGAAAGGGAGATCCCACCCCAAAAAGGGGGCCTACTTTGTGGCCATTTTGGGGACAGGTATTTCGAACAACTACCAAGGATCCCAAAGGCCTGATCCTTCACCCCCAAGCGCTATGCCATGCGGACAAGCTCCTGCTGTGTGCCGGACTAGGCCCACAATTGTAAGATTCCACTGCCGGAACACAAAGTATAGCATTCCTGGAAAATTTCATGTTCTTGTTGACCTCATTTGGACTTCTATTGATTCTAAATGGATGTTTGAACCAACCCTTTGGGCACTACCACTCAGGGCCCCCCAATATGGAGCAGCTGAAGTATCCTGCCACAAAATAAACCCTAAACTCACATCATGAAATCTCACAAAAACCTTGTTTCAAAAAGAGACTTGTCTTTATATGGCCGATGTTGGGGGCTCCATGCCCTTTAAAAGCTCAAGAAAGCCTTGTTGGAACCCCAAGGCCTCGTTGCCAGCATTCATCCTCGCCGTGGGTTGGGGCTTTCCAGGAATGGTGGGGGGGTTGGAGCTGACAGACGCCGCTTCTTGCAGGGTTTAGATGGGCTTCATTGCTACTTCAGGCAGGCGCTCTGACAAGAGGGGGCGTGTAGGGATGGCATAGGTTCATAGGGTGTTTTGCTCTAGGCTGGCTGCCTGGTCCCTTTTTGTACAAGACCGAGCTCAGGCTGCGAAATATCTCAAGACCGTGGTAATTCACAGCACTGAATAATTGGGAAGACAGAAAGTAAAGATGACAGGCACAAGATGGAAAGGATCCTACTGCTTAATACCATTGAGGGATGCCCTGCTAGTTCATGCGCAACTTGTTTGCAAAGAAAACGAACCGTACAACCGGTTGACTCGCCAAATGCCGCGGCATGAGCGGTCACAGGCTGAACTCTCCAAATAGGTGTGCCTCTAGAAGCTTTCCTCAACACCGGACATGGGTAAAAGTTTGCTTAGGAGAAACCGTGGAGCTTCTTTACCTCCACCCCAGCACTTCCCAAACCACTACCTGAACCTTAAACGAATATTAAACCCCAAATAGAACCCTAAACCCTAAACCCCAAAACTCCAAAGCCCTAAACCCTCAACCCCAAATCCGGTCCTCTTCTGGAACAGCTGGGGCGCCTCATCCTCCAGAGCCTTCCACCGCTCTTGCTGCTCTTCCGCTAGCCTGAGAATTTTCGAGCTTTGGCATGGTTTAGGGCTTTAGGGTTTAGGATGTAGGATTTAGGGTTTGGGGTTTAGGGTTTTAGGGTTTAGGGTTTAGGGTTTATTATCATTACTTAGGGTTTGTGGTGGGGGAGGGAGGTCATTTTGAGCTCAAAGTTTTGAAGTTTTGGGATTAAGGGAATTTGGGAACCCTAAGTAATGATAAGTTTATATGAGCTTGAGGTTTTAGGGTTGAGGGTTTAGGGTTCAGGGAATGACGGGCTTTGCTCTTTGGATGACTGCGAGAATGACAATGACATGTTGAGAATGCAATTACAAGGATTTGGTTGTTCTCGAGCCTTTATCACGTCCGCGTGTAAAGATTGGAAAGGGTAAAACCTGGCCGTAGCTTTTGTTAACTTTTCTTATTGAAAGGAAAAATCCGGGTTTGGTCTAAAGCACACGGTTTGGTATTTGGGCATGCGAAAGGCCCCAAAACCTATGTAACTCATAGACTAGCTGCGAACCAAGGCTTACTATACATGGGCCTTGGACCCTCAAACGTCAGAGACCGTCGCGTTCAAATTTCAACATCTTGTGCCCGCTTGAGGTGCCGCTCTTGTTGCAACTCGGGCTTCGGGGTGCGGATACCATGACTACAATCAGTGTTACCTGTTCGAACAATGTGAACTTGAGCTTTCCACTAACCTCAATGGACAGTACCATGCAGATCCTAAACCCTAAACCCTATGCCCTCATTCCCTTTAAAGCCCATGAAAAGGCTACCTGGGGGCTCAGGTCCAAGGGCCGGACCGCAATGTAAGCAAGGTGGCATCACTCTCCTTCACCTGAGGATAGATGCTTGCTTGCGCAACGAAATTAGACTGTACAAAGGACTGAGAATCAAGGCTGCGTATTCATAATCTGGATTGCTGTTAAGTGACTTATTGTAAGTTAACCATATCATCCACTGTATATACCCATCATGGTAACCTACTTTAAGTTCCAGTACGACTCTTTTGAGAAGCTCACGCATCAGCCTTTGAAAATATAGCTCTCTCGGCTAGTGAGCTGCTCCGGTCTCATGATCTCTGCCTCTTCACACGGGGGAACGAAGCTGACAGCCCCGATGCAAAAACTCTGAAGGAACGAGGGTTGTGGCCGCTGTCGTCCTTGCAGAACACACCCTAAATAGAACATTGACCGACATATGCCTGCATGCTGGACATGAGGTCTCAGCAGCCTAGTCTCTTCTACGGAGGCACCTTCACTGCAAGAAGACCGATTGTAGGGGCCTGCTTGATTGGAAGAATGCTTGGGGGCATATTTCGATGTAGTTATATAAAGAACGTGACGGAACAAGATTGTTTCTCACTAAGGCTGCTACGAAATGCTATTCTTGCTCACTGCCCGCGCAACCGTAAGGCAAGTAAGCAATCCTGCTCTAAAAGAAGCAGAGTCCCTATAGACCAGAACCTCTACAAAACCAAGCAGTCGGCAACTCAAACTGTGGCCCTGGCGACCAGGACCTCACCTTCTGTCTCAGCAGCCTAGCTCCCAGGTTTCAGAGAGTTCAGGAGCCAAGGCTTTCGCATTTTGGGCTCAAGGCTCAAGGTCCATGAGCTTGGCTTAGTCATAGATAGGAATTGGGATCCCAGCCGTTTAGGACCTGGGGAGTGCCAGTCATAAGCATTCAGCAGAGCCCCACATCTTTCCGGCTTCCGTATTGGCAAGAATGCCGCCTAGTCCAACTGCCTCCTCAAACTCAGGAGGCACGAATCTCAGTACACCCCGAAGACCCCTTGCCATCCATCCAGGCAACATCCTGCAAATGCTGGTAACCCGTGCCATCCAATGAAAGTGCAGATCATGAAGGTCTGCTAGCACCCTTCGTCCAGCTGCTTGTGAGCCCTTTGGGGTAGGCTGCAGTTTGCATGCGTGAGAAAATTGGAACAAGCGAGAATACTCCAACTTCTTCAGGTCTTTTGTGAACCAATCCTAGACCTTAAGACCTGAACCCTGATTCTATGGGTAGGCCTTTTGTTGACCACTTGAAGCCGTACAACCCCAAAACCCCAAACTCAAGAGGCTGCGCTTCAACCCCAACAGCCACACCCTAATGTAGACCCATGATTCATAAACCCTTCCTTTAAGTGCCTTAGTATTAGGATCCCTAGTATAATCCCTATTGAGGGGAGGGGGTTCATTAATCAGGGGTCTGGGTTATCCTGCACCACCATTTCCTTTTACACCCCAAGCCCTAAACACTGCATGTTCCCTTGTCTCCCTACATAACCCCTACAACCTCTTTTTAGGGGCCCTTAAGCCCGTAATTGTGGTGAAGACCCCATGAGCTCCCCGCTTCAGGAATCGGCAGCACCGCCTCACCGGGGCCCAGAGCTGCTGCTGCCTCCGAAGCGTCACCTCCCAGTGCTGACTAGGAGAAGGCTTGTTGGGGTTAAGGGTTTAGGGCTTTATGAAGATGGTACGGAGGGATATATGGGGATATATGGAGGGAAAGAAATGGATTTGTAGAGGGATATGTAGAGGGATATATAGAGGATCTATAGAAGGATATGAGAAGATATCGCAAGCTAGAGAAAAATATGGGATTTACAAGGCTTAGGCTTTAGGGCTGAGGGCTTGTGGGCTCTTGGGCTTAGGAATTATAAGGGACTTCAGGCTTTTTGGGCATCTGGGTGGAAGGTTTCGGGTTTCGGGTTGCTGGGTTTCCGGATTAAGTTAAGGGTTTTTGGTTGTTTGGATGCAGGGGGGCTAGCTTAGCATGTTTTGTAGGTTCGGGAGTGTGTGTTGGGGGCCATTGATGGCTTCGGGTTTTGGTATTGTGCTGGGGCTTTGGGGCCCTCAGGCGGAAGGTTCTGGATTGACAGGCCAGAGTCACGAAAGAGCATCATGTTGCAGGGGTTCACGTCTAAGGCAAGCAAGGATTGAAGGTCGTTTCGCGAACAGACCCAGCAGGCTGCACTAGTGACGTTAGCCTGCACACGGTCCATAAATGGCAACTCGATGAGAATCCAGATTCACCATGTGTGTACCCCCGCCTTTGACCCGGACCTGCCAGGATCCAAACTCTGCCTGGGAGACCAAGAGATTTCAGAAGATTCGTTAGGGTGGCGAAGCAATGTTTCTATCAGTGTGTACACTAGATGTCTGAGATGCAAGTGTGTAGTTTGGAGGTTAAAGCTGCAGGCTGTGGCATATACCTTGGTCTTCTTCCTTGCAGATGAGGCACGGATGGGCCCATGACAAGTCCCGTCAGCTGAGCTTGATTGGCCCCAGTGAATTGAATGACGTCGCCGGTCATGAAGGTGTTAGCTTCCTCCAGCCAACCACGAAGTAGCCAGTCCTTCCCAACGGCATTACCCAAGTATGTTCGCGCCGACCCAAGTACCAAGCACAATGTCTGACAGTTTGCTTCGCTGTGACCTGGAAGGCAGGATATTACGAAACCTGACTCACCCGGCCTTCAAGATCTCGTCTGCAATGTCGGCCGAGCGCTTGCAGCAGAACCTTGACCAAGGCTCTTCAAGTTGCAAATTCTGGGAACGTAAATCCAAAACAACCTTGCAGAATTACTAAGGAACCATGGAGGAACGCTGCAGAATCCCAAGGAAACCTTGCTGGAACCCTATATAACCCCATAAAATCCCTACATAACCCTGGAGAATCCTACATTAATCTGGAAAACCCTGTAGGCCCCTATATGACCTGCTATAAGACCCTATACAACCTCTAGAAGACCCTAAGTAACCCTCTCCCCTAAACCCTAAACTCCCTAAACCCTAAACTCCCTAAACCCTAAACTCCCTAAACCCTAAATTCCCTAAACCCTAAACTCCCTCAACCCTAAACTCCCTCAACCCTAAACTCCCTCAACCCTAAACCCCAACAAAACCTTCCCAGGCCCCCGAGGCGCGCCAGCGCTTCTCCCCAGGCCCCGCTTGCAGCTTGGGCGAGGCAGAGCCCGCCAAGCCTCAGCGCAGTGGATTTAGGGGTTTAGGATTTAGATTTT